ACGACGCCCGTAACAAAGGGAAGTTCCAAGCTCTCGTTAACTTGAAAACGATGGAAAGTGAAGTAATTGTAATGAATAGAATTGTAATAGTGTAGTAGTCTCTTTGCTTGTGCGCGTGGTTGTTTCCATTAGCACATCGACTATCACGACGGGACGTCAGTCGATAGAAACAATGTAACAGGAAAATACGTAACGTCAACTAAAGATGGTGCTTGCAAAGTTCTCACAATGTATTACGATCGTATAGTCGGTGTGTTAACTGCACAGATCACGACATATATATCGAACCCTGCGAGGTCTTGGGCTCTAAGTGATAACTTTAACTCTTTAAAAGTGACACATTGCGAGATCGATACTTTTGCAAGTTTAGGCGAAGTTCTAGCTGCCTGGATGATCAAGAGCTTTTTTCAAAATCGTAACAGCGTACACAGGGGAGGATGTAAGTCACAAAAAAGACATCTATCTACCTACCCTCCTCCCAAGGATCAGCATTCTACAACGTTTTTGCGCGACGGAAGAGGACAGCGGCGAAGCGCAAGAGTATCTAAAGAACGTCTGTAAATCATCCTCGGAAGGTATCACAGTAGCAACGAATCGACAATTGTTCCCTTCGCGGGGATCACTTGATATTATTATACCATTAACTTTATTTAACTTTATTAACTTTATTATTAATGATATCGCTATTATGTACATATATACATATACATATATATTTTAATCAACATACGTAAACCATCGTGTAAACCCTTCTGTGCGTTTCCAAGATCCTCCATATGCAATTGACTCAATCAAGTATAATCTAAGAATTCGATGCAAAAATCGATCAGCTCCATTTTTTTGGACGAAAATAACTTTATGAATTTAGATTGAACGTATCTTTTGACATATATAAGAAACGGATAACTCCAACAGCTCCGAACAAAGTGATTTTTATACTTTTTATATTTCAACAGTTTTTGTAAAATATTTCACATAATAATATATATAAATTTGATAAAAGTTTTTTAAAAATACTTTTGAATAATTTATTTGTTTTATTGAAAAAAAGAAGCTGCAGTATAAAAAAAATGGTGCTGATTGTTTTTCGTACTTGGACCCTTGAATGACATCGTAAGATATTTTAAGGATACATCAAACAAAATCTTTCAGCCTGAGAATTCATCTTTTTCATCAATCGAGAAAGACTTTACGAGTCGATGTGTATTGAAAATTTAATGAAGAAAACCGAATGAAAAAAACAGAACAGTACGCAAAGCCAGAAGTATCCAGCCGAACCTCCATCGTCCATTCTCCTCTATTGCCTTTTGTCCAGTTTTATAGCGAGAATGAGAATGATTAAAAATGAATAATGAAACCCATGCCCAAAACTTTCCTTCTTTTACTTTCAACGTTTTGACTTCTTCAATATTTCACCGTCGACGACGAAAGCGGATCTTCAGCTCCAACCGAATAAATTCAGGAAGGACGACAGGCTTCTCGGAAGGCATATATTCCATTAGGTTTGTACAATTCGAGCTGTCCGCTGTTGATATGCTGCAGAGCGAACAGACATGGAGGAGGTAATACGCGAGGGAGATGCGAGGCGAAGAGGGGAGATCGATATTGCGACCCCCCCAGGGGCACGCGTTACGTACGCTCGCGTCAACTGAAGTGCATCCCCTACCTTTATTCTGTACCGAAAATTCCCTAATCTTTTTGTCTGCCTCTATCCATCTCTTTAAAAAGAAAACCGAGAAGGTTTTCCTTCTTTTTTCAATTGTTTGTGTTACCCCTGCATAGCGATTTTTCACAAAGGAGTTACATACAGATTGACAAATATCGGCAGTGTACATGGAAGATGGAATAAATTTCTACACAAGATTTTATTACGCGAGTGTGTCCTATGCCTGCCTCGGATATATTCAACCCTACAATTTTAAAATGGCTCCATAGTTCGCCTATACTTGGGACTAGATATTGCTAGGATCAAGGATGTCTTAAATGTCGTTCGGAGGAAAATGTCATCTTCTCTACAGCATCGTCCAGACTGTTTTAAGCTTTTCACGTAATACATTCCCTTTAGACTCAGTAACATTGTCGCTTGGCAAATGGCTAGGTCTTTTATAAGATACGCTCTAAATGATTTTATACATTACAATTAGAATATTACATTCTGAATGTATTCCATTTTTATATATTTACTTTACTTTATATCTAAGATTATTTCAATAACGGCAAAATTTTTATATAAAAAGATGTAATAAGATTTCAGAATTTAGTACTTTCAATTACATATATGATAATATATATTACATTATTTTTATTTATAGAAATAATTTATACACGAAAAACGTTAAAAATAATATATATATATATACTGATAGAATTATATATAAATATATATATCGATGATAATTTGAAGGAAAAATTGGACGACCAAACCTATGTGAAAAGCCCTGTAGCCGCGATCGTAAAGGCTTCCAGAGGGAATTTCCTTCGCTATTATTCCACTCGCGTTAGGTCTTAGAAGGTATGAGAAATATTACCTATGCAGAGAATATTATCTATACATTTATGGATGAAATTTATCAACGCAGCTGCAAATACCATCACAAACAATAGCAACAGCAGCAGTCCTTTTATACAAAAAACTCTTTGCATAAAACTAAAACGTACACGTCGCTTTAACACAGAGAAAATGTTTGTGTATTGGAAAATAAAAAATTCATTCCTTTATCATTTCTTTTAGTTAAATTTCTTTTTAATATCTCGCGCGATAAACAATTAGAAATATTTGGTTTGAAATATCTATTATATTTAAAGAATTAATATGCGAAAAAATTAATCTGATCACTTTTTAAAAACATTTACGATGTATAAGAAGACTAGATCGATTGCAGCAAAAATTGTTATCGATCCGCTTGATTTTAAAACTACCAGAATTCTCTTCCCAGATTTTCCTCAAATTAATGAACGTCACGACGCGAGTTACTTGTTGAGCTCACGAAGCGTGCTCCATCTCGTTTCTGAAGGCAACGAGGGCGACGGCTCTATATCCATATAAGTCCGTGAAGCTTGCCGAGGATTTCTTTATCATTTTACCTCGGCGAAATATTCAATATAGCCGGCTGCATTATATGTAGCGAACTCGGACAGGATGTTTGAACGAGGAAAAGCAGAAGAAGACGATAGCGGAGGTGGAAAAAGAGGATAGGAAAAGTTGAAGCGAGTAAAAGGAAAAGAAAGAAAGAATACCACGGACCGGCTCTGCATGTCAACTACTTTACAAGGCACCTGACTTTCTGGCTAGACCACGCTGGGTGATACCAAACCGTGGGCATCGAGTAATCCTCGACCTTACGTAAGGAGACGAAGCACGTAGAATCGCGCGGCAGGTCCGAGATATATTTTTACATCTTTCATTTTTTTTGATCCATATATGAATCATACTTTCAACATTTTTTTCTCGATTTGAATTTGATGAATATATAACTCATATTTTTTAAATATAATTATATAATTGGATTATATAAATTTTTTTCAAGAATTTCTCTCCTTGAAAAAATAACGAGCGTTCAAAATGCTCACAGTACTCTATCTGTCAAACGCACATTGGAGAAATGTAAGTATAGAAAGAGTAATACATATAGAAAAGAGTTTCTGCGAAAACGAAACACGTTAAGTATTTTATGACTCGATCAGAAGAGCACCGGTGCTCTCTCCGATTTTATATCTTTTCCCACGTAGCACAACTATATGGTCTCACCCTCCAAAAATTATCAAATAAAAATATCTCTTTGTATTATTGTTTATAAAGAAAGCTTCGTTGATTCTTGATCGGGAGACGCAAACTATTTTTATTCGACCATTATATAGAAGTGAAAATGGGAGTGTTAGTCACATATCGAATTAATTCGTGAAAATTTTACTGCGAGACCACCTACGAAATTCTCCACGTTAATATTTAAGGAACACGGGAAAAAGGGATTCAGCCTCTCCCGTGAGAATTCTGGACGGTGCTTTGCACCGCCGCGCCGGAACGTATCTCAGGAAATATATGGGTCTCGTGTAGACCATCTCGGACGAGCGGTTGCCGAGGGTGGCTGGGACGTGAGAAGGGGGTTGATAGCATAGGTCTGTCGGAAAACTGTGCCTACGTGTTCCGACATGGTGTAGGCCGTCCAGAGACACTCGATCCTACTACTGCGCCGGGGAGTACAGCCTTCAAAATAAATATTTAACACAGGAAAAACAATTTTGCGAGCGGACAATATACATTACGTATTTGGGATTAAATTCCGTCAACAGTAAATCCTGATAAATTCAATTAGACTTAATTCAATTATTCTACTGAAGAAAGAAGCTTAAGGTAAGTGAATATTTCATTAATTTTCGCCGTGCAAATTAAATTAAATTAACAATATGAAATCGATAAGATGAGACATTAATTATAATATGAGATTCATATGTAAAAATTTAGATGATATCGATGTAATTGATATTTTAACACTTTACTATTTCATCTACATTTGGCGCATAAAATTCAAAAGAATCTTGTCACTTATTTGTGAGTGATGCTTTTGTCCGTTAAAAAAAAATCATTTATTATTAAATATTTAAGACATTAAAGAAATAATATAAAATCTATTAAAAAATAATAAGATATTAAAATAGTGTACTACATTTTTTAACTCAATATGCCGAAATCAGTTTGGCAATCAAAGTATCAATTGATTTTGTAACATCAAATTTTTGAAAAATTAAAATGAAAAAGCGTATTAACTTGTAAATAAGATTTTGCTTCTTAAATAAATTAAACATAATTATTCATCGTGTATTTCTAATGTTTAATACGTTATAAATATTTCCTTAATGTGCATTGATGCAGATGGCATATTGTGGCATAAAAAAAGAGCCGGGTTTTAGTATTTCATTCCTCTAATATTAATTTAGTTAATTAAGTATTTAATATTTTTCTCAAATTAATGATCAACGTGATTCATACTGATATGGCTCACCTCCCACTTTTTCTTAACACCTTCAAGTGTAAAACTTATGGAGTGGATGGGTTTGATGCCGCAGACCGATAATCCCGAGAATCTCGAACCAATCATTTCTGTAAAGATGTATGAATAAATCAAATTGTGAAAATGTAGACAGATGTAATTTATTGAAGATACTCGCGAAAAATCGACATGTATTGGCATCATCGTGTTGAATCTAATTCAGTCTTTAATATCGTTATTGAGAGCAGAACGTAATTTTCGATTACGTAATCATCATTCGACATTCGATTAAATATTTCGTTTCAATCGCGTGTGCAAGGCATCTTTACACCGGAAAAAATTAACGATTTGTCTATTGCGTGTTCTGTGTGATATAAAATGATAAAAAGAAGAAATATAATCCTTTGCTTACCCGAAATTGTTTGGATTATAACGTTACACTTGCGACAACGTAGCAGGAAACAAATTTCAATAAATTGATGTATACAAACAGAAATGTATACAAATGCTGACAAAATGTGCCTCGTCAGAGAAATTGCGTATTCCTCGTTTGTTAATCGTGTCTCTTCTGTCGAGAAGTTACATCCTTAAACTCGTACGTGTTCGCAGCGTACACGTATAAAATTTTGACGTTTATGACAAAACTATCGTAACATTTACACTTGTTTAACCATTCCATATATACGTGCCCATTTTTTTTTTCTAATCATTTATCTTATAGATTTTTCTAATATTTTTGTTATCGTCAAAATTCAATGTATTAAAAAAAAAAAACAATACCACCGAACCCGTTTCATGTAATACTTTCTGAAAGCACATATAAGTAGAGTGTTCTTAAATTTTTCTGATTTTTTTTTTAAATTAGAATTTTACAGAGAATGAATACAAAACTAAATTATTATATTCTTATTATCATATTCTTTATTATTGTAATTTATTACTGGAAACGAATAAGTGGATTCAAATGAACTTTTGCACGAAAATTTATTATAATTTTATTAGTATATTTATTAATATTTATATACTTATAAGCATAATATAAAAAAGTATTTCTTTAATATGCAAAATGCATAAATGTATTTTGTGTGTTATAGTTCTAATTATCAACTTTCTCGTATAGATTCCAACATGTACGCCACATTTATAATATAATAAAGTTTTTTACAACAGTAATATTTAAGTATAACTAATTTTAAAATTATATGACAAAGTATTATGGAAACAAGAAATACATTTAAATAAGAAAACTATAGGAAATTGTTCTTTTTATAGACGGATTCAACAAAGTTAGTTTTTGTTGAAATATATTGTTGCAACTTGGATATTCATGAACGAAACGTACATATATGTCCATGATAATTTTAATCTAAAACGAAAAAAAGCAGTATGTACATTGCATGCATTTCGAGCACCGTTTATCGGTCGACTCGCCGATATTTATTCGAATCGAAGTACAATCTATGAATAACGACCCGAATACCTGGCATAGATTTATAAAATAACGTCACAAGAATTTTCTCTCATGAATATTAATGGGAATAAACCACACTACGGAAAGCGTCTATTTCCGCAGCCGATCATACAGAAGATCGATCGCATTTTATCTCGTACGAGAAAGAAAAAATCTCTCGTTTTAAAACGCATAGAATTAACGTTACATCTGTAACGTTGAATTTTATACATGTGTTGAATTTTATAAATGTGAAGGAGTCTGCGAATGATGACGACAACGACAGCGAGGAAAATTATTCAGGGATGGACAAGGACAAAAACAGACGTCGCGACGGAGAAGAGCTATTAAAATATGTAAGAACAACGAGAACGTGAGTACGACGGGTGTGCACATATGTTTGCTCTCCTCAGAAATTTTTTTCCCTTCAAACATATGTACGTTGCGAATTCATGCTATTCTATCAACTACCATGTTCCATTAAATAAAAAAAAAGTACTATTGTTCTAAAATTATATTAAACCTTTCAGAATTTTAATTCACTCAAGATAACTGCTACCATTTTCAAGTTAAATTTGAATATCTGCAAAAATAAAATGTATTAAATTTTTATTAAAAAAGATATCCTCAACGAGACATTATTTTTCTTTTCATAACCGAAAGTTTAACAAAACACGCACATTGCGAATTTATGCCGCGTTCTATCATAATTAATTATATCACCTTCCATCAATTTTCATTAAATTAAAAAGAATTAAAGCGCTATTGTTCTTAAATTTTATTAAACGTCTAAAGTTTTTTAAATTTAATCCAAATAATAATTGCCATTGTTTTTGTAAAACCATGTAAAATTATTAGGTATCTCAAATGCGTAAAGGTTTAATGTATCTTGAGAAAATGGAATTCATTAAATTTCGATTAAAAAGGATAGCCTTGACGTTAATTATTTTCCTTTTCACAATCAGAAGCCTTCAACGCGTCATACATGAAAGTCCGCGTTTACAGAATCTGCGAAACATAACATAAAATACATTATAACAAAGACAATAACATTTCAAGATTTTACGCACAAATGCTTTATTATGACACAGTTCGAAAAAAGTCACCTTTTTTTCTCTTTGATATATAAGTGCTATATAATAATTCCGAAAATTTTTTCACATCGAACACGATGGCGTCATCAGAATTTGCATGCGTAACACGTCAGGATTTTGAGTAAATTGGAGTGAAATGGACAAAAAATGGCTTTTTTATGGCCCATTTTACCCCAATTTACTAAAAATCCTGACGTATTATGCAAATTCTATCAACAGCATGTTCAACGTGAAAAAATCTGCGGAGTATATACATAGTATATTCTATGATACTTAAGAGAATTTGTTAGTTTCCTATTCACTTACAACTGTCTCACATTGTGACGTTATCAGAAGCGAAAAATATACAATAGAAATTTTTGCAAAATGTAGATAATAATATGAAGATGTGTTTCAATAAAACAACACAATTGATAGACTTTGTAAAATATACTGAAAACTCATTTTGATTAATTAATTAAATGGAATTTATTAAATTATTGTACATCTGAAAATGAATTATGCGTAATCAAGAACGAAGTAAGCTATGTTCACAATTATGACAACTATTAAATTAATAACACATAAAAATAAATATGATTTAATTTCGTCTTGAAACATTTTATAAATATATTCTATAATATATGCATTTATATTCAATGTATTTTAGTAAGGTAATTTTTTAATGTAATTAATGTTCAATGTATTTGAATAAGGTAATTTTTTAATATAATTTATGAACACGTGATACTTTGCACAATTATACTTTTTGCGACGACTCCTATTGCCCTGTTTTTGTAATTTACTTTATAATATATGTTATAAATATATTCTATCGCGATTGCAAAATTTCACAAATATTTTTATTTAAATAATTGATTTATTTAAAAAATAGATACGTTTTTTATTACTGCACTAAATTTTACAAAATTTTCCGT